ATTTAACAATTGTCAGTGATGGAGAACCCAGGGAAGGTTAGACTAGATGACCCTTGTAGTCTCTGCTAACCCTGGTAGATTCTATGAATCTATCAGGACCCTTGTAATGGCTAATTGCCCTCACTGTCAAAACAACAACAAGGGGTTCTTCAAATACGTCAGACAAAAAAGAAAGATCAAGGATGGTGTGGGTCCACTGCTCAACAGAGAAGGTGAGCTGGTAACGGAAGATGATAGGAAGGCAGAGCTGCTTAATGCCTACTTTGCTTCAGTCTTCTGCCAAAAAGAACATGTGATCGGACGACTAGACAATAAAGAGGAAGAGATGCAGATCAGGATAAGTAGAAAATACATCAGATCTTCTGATCAATTTGAATGAACTCAAATCAGCAAAGTCAGATGTTATTCACCTAAGGGTACTGAAGGAATTAGCTGAAGAAATTTCTGAGCTACTGGCAATAATATTTGCAAACTCATGGATGAGAGGAGAGGTCCCGGAAGACTGAAGGGCTAATGTAGTCTCCATCTTTTAAAAAAGGGGAAAAGGAGGAGCTGGGGAACTATAGACCAGTCAGTCTGACTTCGATACCTGGGAAGCTACTAGACCAGTGTATAAAACATTCAGTTTGTGAATACTTGGAGGATGAAGGGGTAATCACTAGCAACCAGCATGGATTTACCAAGAACAAATCATGCCAAACCAGTATCAGATACTGAGGTAAAATAATCTCTCTTCTTCTCCTCGAGATTCCTGTTTATGCATCCCAGGATCACATTAGCTTTTTTGGCCACAGCGTCACGCTGGGAACTCATGTTCAGCTGATTATCCACCACAACGGCCAAATCTTTTTTGAGTCACTGCTCCCCAGAATAGCGTCTTCCATCTTGTAAGGATGGTCTACATTCTTTGCTCCTAGATGTATACATTTACTTTTAGCAGTGTTAAAACGCATATAGTTTGCTTTTGTCCAGTTTACCGGGTGATCCAGATCGCTCTGAATAAGTGACCTGTCCTCTTCATTATTTACCACTCTCCCAATTTTGTGTCATCTGCAAACTTTATCCGTGATGATTTTCTTTTAACGACGATAAATAGCATAGGGCCAAGAACCGATCCCTGCAGGACCACACTGGAAACACATCCACTTGATGACCCCCCATTTACAATTACATTTTGAGACCTATCAGTTTGCCAGTTTTTAATCCATTTAGTGTGTGCCATATTAATTTTATATCATTCTAGTTTTTGAATCAAAATGTCACATGGTATCAAGTCAAACGCCTTACAGAGGTCTAAGAATATTATATCAACAGTATTACCTTTATCGACCAAACTTGTAATCTCATCAAAAAAAGAGATCTATTTAGTTTGACAGGAACTATTTTCCATAAACCCATGTTGATTTGCATAAATTACATTAATCTCCTTTAATTTTTTCTTAATCAAGTCTCATATCAGCTGCTCCATTATCTTCCTCAAATCAACGTCAGGCTGACAGGCCTATAATTATGCGGGTCATTCTGTTTATCCTTTTTAAAAATTGGCACAACATTAGCTTTTTTCCAGTCTTCTGGAACTTCCTCAGTGCTCCAAGACTTATTGAAAATCAACATTAATGGTCCAGTGAGCTCCTCAGCCAGCTCTTTTAAAACTCTTGGATGCATGTCATCGGGACCTGCTGATTTAAAAATGTCTAACTTTAGTAGCTTCTGTTTAACATCCTCCTGAGATACTAGTGGAATGGTAAGAGTATTATATCACCATATGATGAGACTACAAATACAGAACAGAAATACTGATTGAAAACTTCTGCCTTTTCTGCATTATTATTGTTAATTCTACCATTTGCATCTTATAATGGACCAATGCCATTCTCTGTTTCTAATATACACCTCTACCCCGATATAACGCGACCCGATATAACACGAATTCGGATATAACGCGGTAAAGCAGCGCTCGGGGGGGAGGGGCTGCGCGCTCCAGCGGATCAAAGCAAGTTCTATATAACGCGGTTTCACCTATAACACAGTAAGATTTTTTGGCTCCCAAGGACAGCGTTATATCGGGGTAGAGGTGTATTTTAAAAACTCCTTATTGTCCTTAACTCTGCTCGCCATAAGTTTTTCCTTGCATCTCTTTTCTTTCCTTAGCAATTTTCTACAATTACTAACTTCTGATTTATATTCATTACTATCAACTTTCCCTTTCTTCAATTTGTTGTTTTATATTTTACAACTGTCTTCACTTCCGCTCTAAACCAGGTTGTTTTTTTAAACCAGCACAGCCTTCTTCCTCCATTGTGGGATTGTGGCTTTTTAGGCATCGAATAGGGTGTTCTGAAATGATTCCCAAGTATCATACAAATTTTTTCTGATTAAATGCTCTCTCCTAGCTGACCAGGCTCATAATTGTTTTCAGCTTTGTGAAATTGGTCCTATTAAAGCACCAAGTATAGAAATTACCAGTCTGGATTGTATTCTGCATGCACATCTTAAATGTTATCAAGTCATGATCACTCGTACCTAAGCTATCATTACGTTTTAGTTCTGCGATCAGTTCCCGTCAAACTAACAAGGTCTAATAAAGAATTCCCCCATGTTGGCCGCAACACTTTTAGAGTTAAGAAACATCTATAATGTTTAGAAATTCCAAGGATGTTTTAGTAATTGCAGCATGAGACTTTCAAAATATGTCACTCAAATTCAAGTCCCCTATGATCACACAGTTTTTTCCCCTATACACTATAGATAAGTGCATAAGGAGGTGATCATCCTATTCCCTAGTGTGATCTGATAGTTGGTAGCAGACATCAACTAATATCCCATCTTGTACATGATCTGTTAGGGAATTGATCCATAAGCAGTCAAGATCATTTTCTTGCGAGTTATCAGTGACTCAGAAACAGGTAATGTCATTTCGGACATACAGTGCCACTCCCCTTCCCCTTTTGCCTACTTGATCCTTCCTAAATGGGTGATAATAATTGATTTTAACTTTCCATTCATGCAAATAATCCCACCAGGTTTCAGAAATACCAACTAGATCAAATTTATGCTAGTAAATGAGCAATTCCAGGTCCTCTTGTTGTTACCAGGCTCCTAGCGTTGCTCTTAGCATAGGCAATTCAAGAATTTCTTCTCTTCATGTCCTAAGGCTTCTTGATTTCGTTCTGAGCATCTCAATTTTTTGCTGAGTGCTCACATCTTCTCTCTTTTTTACCCTTCCCTTTTGTTATTAGTTTAACACTCTTCTGAATACTCTAGTCTGCCAGTCCCCTAAGGTGGAGGCCATCCAACAGCCCCTACTCCCCACAAAAGGTGGACCAATATTCCACAAAACCAAAACCCTACACCACTTACCTAGCCAGCAGATACATGAAAGAAAGCACAGGAGTAGAGTTAATTAACTGTACTTCTATCAGGGTGGATAAAAATCAATGATTTTTTTTTAAATAAAAAAAATCAGATTTGTTTTTATTTAAATCGGATTTTTTGATAAAATGTTTTTTGAGGAAAAAACCTATCTAAAAATAGTTTTAATTAAGATACATTATAGCTCAAAGATATCTCATCATGGAATAGGGATTACAAATTCTAATTCTAGAGTATGAGACAATATATTCATGTAATGTTTAAGAAAAGTTTTGTAAATGAGTTCCAATAGTTCATGGATTAGGAACCCAATCTTATGGGTTCCAGGGGCTTCTGTATAGATTATTTAGGTTAATATTTCTATCTACCCAATGGGATTCAGTGCTCAGTCTAGAAGATACCATCAGAGATGCTTAGTTTTGCAGTTCTCAAACTGTGGATTTGTGTCTCCAGAGATAACATGTTTGTTAACAGCAAAAATGTTTTTAAATAAATTAATATATAGAGGTGAGAAATAACAGACCTCAACCCTATTGTCTCTCTGCAAATTTGTGTAGACAGAGTCAATCCCTTACCTCTATCTAAAAGTGCAAAGTTTCAAAAAAGTTCAATGAATAGAAGATTGTTGGGGGCGGAATAGATCTGGACAAGGAGAAGAAGTCTGGAGATAAATGTGAGAAGGGAGGGACAGGCAGTAGAAACAAAAGTGAAACTGTTTGAGCATCATATTCCAGAAGTCTTGAGGTCTTTCTGAGGGTAGCCTTCTTTGATTTGAGATCTACCATACCATTCTCTCACTAGAAGGGAAAACCTATAATGGCAGCAGGCCATAAAAGAGACCCAGTTTGGGTCTCATCTATCTCTGAGTTGTGAAGAATATGTATTAAGGTTATAACAACTAACAAGAATGCACTTTTATGTAGAAATCCATGATTAAATCGAGTCTTCCTGACTTCAAATCCACCCTGACTTCTATATCATCTTTGATCAGAGGATACCAAAGCACCTTTCCAATATTCATAAAGACTCAAAACCCCCACAAGAGAAGCACGTACTACACCCATTTTACTGACAGTTAAACTGACATATAGAAAAGGTTAAATGACTTGCCCACGCTCAGTGGTAGAACTGGGAATATAGCTCCTCTATTCTAACCACTAGATTACATTGCCTTTCAAATTATTAAAACATGATTTCTTTTATAACATTCTCAGGTAATATGCAGCAACTCCAAAATATATGCTCCCTTTAATTCAGAAAAGTAGTACACACTGTCACTTTAAATGAAAGCTGGGAGTTGGAGAGAGAGGTTGGGCAAAATTTCATTGTTGGCAAAAGTTGGTTTCATTCCAGGAAGGAATGGAGTTGCCCCCACACATGCTAGTGGTTCTATATTGAACAAAGAAAAGAAAAGCCTTCTACAGGACGGTCATCATAATTACCTCAAAAGCTTACATTTATATGATAAGAGCACTAAAAATGTTGGATTTCACCATAAAATTCAAAACTCCTTAAGAGAAAAAAGAAATCAGACATACCAGATGAGACATAAATTACTAAATCAAGACCCTGATTTAACCAATAACAAGAAATTTTTTGCAATAAGTAAAAGAGAATGTTCAACTAACCATTTGATAGACCATTTCCGAGCTTTTGTACATTATGACTTGTGGGAGATGAAAATGCACTGATTTGGCACGTTCCTGTTGTTGGTGAATATGAGCTTAAATTTTTCTTTCTGGTCTTCAAAGGTGTTGCTTCATGTGGCTAAACAAAGTTAAAAAAAAAAAAGAATAAATAAATGTTGGTTCATAGGGAGATCCTTCCATACCCCTTATGTAACTCTGACAATTCCAATCCCTCCCTCCAATTTCCATTCTCAGTGCTTCACAATTACAGCCTCCACACTTCCTGTTAAGGCGGACTACACATTGCTCCCAGAACCAGTCAGCATACAGTGTCTTAAAATGGCCCAATTTGCTAATGTTTAATCAAGCAGTATAGGCCAAGTTGTAACCATATTTTCAAAGAGATTCCCAATTTTCAGTGTCCCCGTTTACGAACATCCCCAAATGTACATGCAGACAGCACTTAAACATGCAAATTAAGCTGTTAGATGTCAGCCTCTCAGCTTTCATACACAAGTCCAACTTGCAAGGTACCTAGAGATATAGTTGCCTAAACTGAGTGCCAAGTGCTCTTTTGAGCAGGTAGTCTAAAAGTTAATTCTATTGGGAAAAATAAGTTAATTTGATGTTACTATGGCATGCACTTTCCTTTCTCACCAGGATTCGTTATGGTTAAAAATCATGGTCAGAATTTTTAGACTTTTTGTTCCACTAAAGATTTAGCTTATTTTTAACCATTTTTATCAAGTGTTTGATTTCCTAAAAACACAAGAAAAATCAGTGTTAAGACAGCAGAGGTCAATTAAAACCAAAATTAAGTCTCTAGTTTAAAGTCATGTGATTACTAACCTAAAGGGAGTTGTGTACCAAACTAGTGGTCAATATTTTTTGCAAGTGTTAGAAGAAAACACATTGACTGGAAGTCATTGGTATAGTAGAATCTCAGAGTTACAAACAGCTTGGGAATGGAGGTTCTACTGTATACATTTTGCTTCCTGGATCAGATGTTAAACTGTAACCCTGAAAAAATTGAGCTACACTGCATTACCGCTACACAAGAAATTAGGAATCTGCCTGTACATCAAGGACCTAAGTTCTGATGATGATTTACATCTTACTAAGGGAGAATTAGCAGCTTCAAGTAACATCAGTAATGACTAGGTCAAAAAGGAAACACACAAAGACACCATCAAACTCCAACAACACTAAAAAGAAAGCCTCCCACTTCACTGAAGCCAGGATTTCACCCTTGTATCCTTAGGGGTGATATAAAGCCCCTAGACACTTTCAAATGGTACAGCGACCACCAGTTTTTACCTCTGACTGAATTTTAAGTATTAAGCACCATGTGTAACAGTCAACACACAATCATATATTGACAACTTCAAAGTAAAATAAGTAACCAGCTGACCCAGTAATTGAACAAGGGGCCATAAGAATGAAACACTGAACCAACTGGAAGGCTCAGCTTCAAGATTTGCATAATATTTCCCTTCTATCTAGCAGCTTTCATAACAAAGGACCTCAAGTCACCAGGCAAGATATCTCTACTGTACACATTGCTGGCATAAAAGATGGAAATCGACTGGTGCACAACAGGTGCTGGAATAGTGAAGAGAAAGGGACATTTTGGCTAAGGCCATTTTTCCCCCCATAGATATTTTACTGAAAAAGTTTCTCATATTCAATTTTTAAGCCATTAAAAATACCACATGTAGGTATTTCACAACTTTTTCCTCTCCTTGGAAACAAGAGCTTTCAGAAAGAAACCTTCGCAGAAAAACAGAATAAAAACCAAAGGTACTTCTTGTCATTTTTGTTGTTTTGTTAACTTTCTAAACTAAATGTAACTTTGTTAATCCACACTTTCACAAATATAAAAACAGCTCACAAAATAGGAAGCAGGCTTCTCTCCTGTCACAACAATGTACTGTACACCACAAAACTCAATATCTATAATCTGTGTTTTTTCTGTGTATTACTCAGAACATTTCTTCAATTTCACACATTAGTTTACTAATCGTGTTTATAATTTCTTCAGTTAAGCACCATACATTAATGATAGAAAAAATAATTACAGGGCTATATGAATATTACACAGTTTTGACACCATGGATAAAATGTAAGATCACAGTCCTCCCCTTTGTGCTCATTAAAGATCCTCTGATACTTTACGTAGTGTTCTAGCTGATTTCAACTTGATTATCTGTATTTTGCTTACCTAAATTTCCCTGCAGTTTCAAATGAATATAGTATTCCTTACTTTTTATCCTGAATGTTGTTCAATGTTGCTGTGCACAAATGTTCTTCTGGGGAAAGAACCTCACCTCACCCTGACTCCAGAGCAGTGTAAAGGGCTCCAGAGATACGATTACACTGAACCTGGGTGTGAACCTCCCAGCCAAGGCAGACAGACTCGTGGTAGCGTGCTAAAAACAGCTGTATGGGCATTGTGGCTCCAGCAGAGACTCGAGCTAGTCACCCAAGCTCAAGCCCACCCAATCTCCTAGACTTGAGCTCAGGTGGCTAGTTTGAGTCTCCACCAGAGCTTCAACGTCCACATGACTCTTTTTAGCTCAAGCCCCTCAAGTCGGTCTACCAGGGCTGTGAGTCTCGCTCCCAGCTGCAGTGTAGACATACCCTGAAAGCCAATGACCCAGCCAAGGGAGAATTCCCCAGTGCAGGAACGTCTTGCATGCACTGGCATAGGAGCTGTACCGGGGCAAGGCTGGGAGCAGGAGGGTTGTTTTGGGGGCAGGGCTGCTACACAAAAGTCTAAGGAGAAAGTACTTGTGACAGCGTACCCCATAAGGCTTTATGGGGAGGGGGTGCTTATAA